AAACATATTTACTTTTGTACCGCTTGGTGAGCGTTGAATACAAAAAAATGTCTGCATACATGAAAAGTCGTTGAAAAAAAAATTTCGTGGCGGCAGCGGCAGTGGGAAATGGAGCGAAATTTTCAAGGGAAAAAGGGATCAAGAAAAGTACTGGGTAGCAGCGCGGTCCTTGAAAATGGAAAGCTCCTTCCGCGTGTGCGAGACTACGACACTCATTAAAATACAAAAGCCTTGTGCGAGCGTTATTAAGGCGATGTCGAAAGGCAGCGCAAGTTTTTTTCTCTCTCACTTTGGTGCTGCATCTTAATTTCAAATGCCGTATCTCTTTCTTCGGCTATACATCGGTGAAAACGTTCGGAAGTAGATAGCAATTCTGTTCAGTTGTGCGCTAGTTAGCTACCATTTCCACTGCCACTACTCTTCCTATCTCTTTTCCTTTTTTCTCTGATTCATCTGTGTTCATACAGTTAGACATTGCACGCTTGACTCTCTGCAAAACACCTCCGATCGTTCATTGCGGACAATCCGATGCGCCGAAAATAGAAATCCGGAAAAACTCGCTAAAGATGCCACTGTATATCAGGCGGGGATTTTCCGAAAAATGTTTCAGTTTCGTACCCGTGAAAAGTCATGCGATATTATTCATTGTATCATGCATTAATTATTCGAAATGCTTTCTCGTATTATATCGGCTCGTAATCAGATCTGAAATAAGCTTTAAGCATTATATAAACGTTCATGACACGAAAACAAATTCAAAGTGAAGTTGTAGCGAGGTCAAGCCTCTAAAATCAGCTACCCGCGCCATTCCTTGCCGACGGAAATTAATTAACAGCGCACTGCGATACGTTGGAATAGGTCTGACCATAATCTTGTGTAACTACTTTTTCGCAGCGCTCTAGCTCAAGCTCGGAATATTATTCGCGTTAATGAGCCGTGTTTAAGGTCACGCTCTATTTGAAAGTGCTGCGAAACAATGGACGAATTTATATTCGCACGGTCAGCCACAGCAGGATCATGCCGGCGCTTTATTGTACTCGCTTAGGTTTCACTCGAGGCCTGACTGGGAAATAAGGATGATGAATTATACGCGTGAGCCAGGAGGCGTCGCTTATTCGCTGTACTACACGTCAATTTTCCCATTCTCGCGAATATAATGCATTTTCCAGGCCCCCTCTCTTTCTCTGTTGACTTGTAAACACAAATAAAAGCTTTTCTCTCACTACCTTTGCATTGCACTCGAATCTTTATCATCGTCGATGTAGTCGTCATCGTCATCATCATCATCATTATCATGAGCTTTCGAGGCTTGTACGTACATAGCGTCATTTATTTGTCTTCTGCCCGGGTAAAACGAGCTTGGGCGCGTGGAACTTTACACGAATGTACGTTATACGTTCCTTCAAACACGCCTCGTCATCAGTGCAGCGACTGCTGCTGTTACAGGGAGACAAATTGGCATGCCGCTACGTCGTAGCGCGCCGCACTGCTCTCGCGCAAATCTGCTATTCTATTTTGAAATTTCGCAGTGCAAATAACGACTAATGGCTTCGAAGCTCCGTCGTGCTCTTTTTCTCTCTCTCGCATACCCTTTTTTTAACGAAAATCAAATAATTTTCTCCCTTTTCGCTCGTTTGAAAGGCATCGTGCCATTCATTTAAACCAGTAAAACGAATCTCGTTTAACTCAATGATTCAGTGGCAATAAGGAGGATCGATGACACAATTACATTCTTCTTTACGATTGCACCAGAATTAACAACATTATTACGCGCTATAAGAACGACTCAAATGGTATAAGCGCATCTATCGACTGAGAAAAATATGTACGGATATTTTCTCAATTCTTCAATCAGTTGTTTTGTAAACGGGTGCTGGCCGCTGCATGCGACTGCTCACAATCGAAATGGAAGAAAATAGAGAAAACGACACAGCTTTATCTGCTCTTCGTTTTTGTCTGCGCGCTATGGTCTGCACTATAGCTCTTTTCTTTCGCTCTATATAACCGAAAGACGACGTAGACGACGAAATGAAATCCGTACACGTGCAATTGCACTTGATTTTTTTTCCTTTCCTATCATCCTTTTCTTCACTTCAATCAATTTTTCCTCCTTTTCAAACGTACGTGTGTGCATGCGCTTTTGTCGACCCACCGATGCAAGGGTATTAAGAGGCAGATAAAATATCTGTAAATAGGGATAAGGAATGAAAGCTATTATTGAGTATTTTACTGCAGCTGCACTTGAAGATGTAAGTTACTAATCGCCTGAATGCATTACATCAAAATATACTTTGAAAAGACGAAGCGATCGATAAAGAAAATAACACCCGAGAGTTGACTGCATGCATACATGTATATTATATATATGTAGCTATACAGAGATTATTCAAGAGATTAAAACGGACGGAATTTTGAAAGTTTTTATTAAATCTTTTTCTCGTTACTTTACCGTCCATCTTGTTATTCTCCTTCGCTTCTGGTCTAAAGAATCTTTCAAGATTGTAACGCTTCGCCCTATAACTTTTGCGCTTACAATCTTTATGTAACAAATTTTTAATTGCAAAAATTTTGCCCCGAATGAAAAAAAGTCGTTTAATTAAAATGCCGGTGCGTGTTATATAGGTAAAAAATATTCAAAGAACATCGATAATAAATAGTGGCAAGCACTCACACTGCCCTTCCTCGTTTTCTTTTTCTCTCTCTCTCTTTCTCTTTCGAGTGGATTATCGAGCGAAAGACGCGCGCGCACTGTGATTCATTACGCGCTGCAGCAGCGCACTCGGTCGAGTCGCGCAGTAATATTAATTTGCAAAAACATAATAAATTGCTTGACGCTATACGTTTGTTTATAAGCCCAGAACTTTTTTCCCATTCCAATTGTTGTGTACAATCTACACGTTCATTTATTAGACGTACATACGCTTGCTGATCGCCATGTTTTTTTACTCTTAATTTGTTTGTTCTAGGTATATATATAAGAAATTTTCATACTTTTCTTCAAGAGAGGAAAAAGAGAGAGAAAGAGTGGTAAAAGAAGGAAGAGTCGGTAGTGGTAGCAGGAAGGGAATAATGAGAAAAAGAGCGAAAATGGACATAATCTCGTTAAAGCCGCTTTCGGTTCGTACGCGTCGCTTACTCTGCACAAAATAAATAGCAAGTTTGGCTGTGTGTGTGTGTGCTAGCTGATATATAGCGCACTAGTGTTGCAGCAGCACTATGCACAGCTTTGCCTGTCTACCTTTTTGACAAATAACTTTTTCGGACGAAAGTTGAAGCTCTCTCGCTGCGCGAGTACTCGTAAGGAAGCTAGTAACAGCTGAGTACACACTTTAACTTTGTGATTTCTTTGCAGCTCGCCCCCATGAAAGAGTTTTGTCATGAATAAAAAAAGTCCGGGCGGTTTTTCATTATTATTATGGTCGTTATACTCGAGTGTATAAGCACGGGTATAAGTGCACGAGTCACTGTAATTTAATGATAAATATCAGTCGAGCTCGTAGTCGAGCTTAACTGCAGAATACATAAACAAGGGCTAAGGTTCTCCGGCCGTACGTATGCTTGAGCTGCAAGCCAATAGACCGGATTAGTCGATCCCGAGCCCGAGTCAACATTCTCCACTGTTGTGTCGATGAATATATGCAGAGGAGTATATAGGCGCATGTAGTTGACACGTTCAAATTCGATATGAACGTCATACGTGAGGAATTGCCGCTGATAAATACATAGACACGAGGCAGGTAAGTACACATGCAAACACACAGCTGAGCTGACTGGGTGAGTCGTCCCCTATACAGAGGAAGCGACATGCAAACCAAATGAATAGAAATTAAGTACAAGCGAGCGAGTGGCAACGAAGAAGAATAGCAGTTGCTCAAGACAGCTGCCACAGCGCATACATATAATTCCAAGTTTTCGCTTGGAATCTTTCGCACTCACACACATTTACACACGTACACAACACGTCGAGTTGCGAGTTTGTATAAAGGACGTGTATGTATATTATCTCGGAGCAACGAACCGAATCCAATAGCATGGACCAAGGCTGTGTGCTCTGTGCCAGTGTTCCTCCTCTTTTCCCCGAGAAGCTCAGTTTCTCCGGCTACACATTCGAACAGACGGCGAAATATAATGGCTTTTATAATGGAGGGTGCATTGTAACATAAGGTCTCGGTGCGCGTGTGTCGTTGCTCTTGCCGCTGCTGCTACTGAAATAATAATGTCAAAAAGTAAGTGAAATCGTGAAAATTTAGTCACCCAAGAAATCGCAACGCACACAGAAAAAATAATGATATATTCCCTAGCTAGAATTTAGTCAACTAACAAGCATTACGATCTGTAATTTTCATAGCTTAGTCAAATTTATCTGATAAAATCAATTTTTCTCGTAGTTTGGACGAGGAGGCTGCCGTCGACATCCAAGAGTCTTTTTCTCTTTGCCACAGAGAAGTGCATACGCTCGAGTCTCGATATTACAGCGTCGAGTCGTAGCTCTCTATAAGCGAGCAGTGCGGAGCCGCGTATCAGGTGAATTCGCGTTCGCGCATAGCAGGTTGGGCACGAGGAGGAGAAGGAAGAGGAGGAAGAGGAGGAGGAGGAGGAGGTGGTGGAGCGGGAAGAAGGAGGGGAGGGAGCGATTCTTACCACTACAACGACGGGATCGCAGCGTACGCACCGCTACTCCATATACAGAGTGGAAAAGTATGCGTGCGTACAGTTGAATACAAGTGTGCAGGTGTAGGGTCGAGCTGCTGCTAGTGAGTGAGGACGACACGAGGTTGGGTTGTACGTCGCTATAGGTATAAACACATAGCTATAAATATACAGGTCTGTACGTGGGCAGAGCGTCGCGCGTTGCTTGGCGCGCTCCAGTCCGCGTGCGCGGGGCTTTCTGCAGTTTCATCACATAGAACGCAGCAGTAACGGTAGTAGTAGTTGTAGTAGTAGTAGTAGTAGCAGCAGCAGCAGCTGTGCAAAGCAAATCAGTAGTAGTAGCACGCCAGCAGCAGCAGCAGTAGCAGCGACGCTCGGACACAGCCGTGTGGACTCGCGCGCGCGCCAAGCAAAAACTTTGAAAGAACCGACATCGCTAGTAGTTGTAGTAGTAGTAGTAACGTAGTAGTTGTAGTAACATTTGCGCCAGTAAATAACAGTGCCGAAATAACAGCGACATCCCCCGTACTGCGCCATGAAAGTGCGAGAAAAAAAAGCCCACCTCCTTCCGACGGATGAAATTATTGCTTTCTTCACGTAAATCTCGTCGCTGTTGCCATTCTCGTTGGTATGGGCTAAGCGGTCCAAGCCAGCCTCGTGGATCTATGCACGTTTGTGTTTGTTTTCGTCTCCCGCAACCCGTAGCCCCGTAGTAATGTGCGAAACGACGAGAGATACATCGACGCCAGTGTGACATTTCTCGTGCATGAATTGTGAATTGCATCGGCAATTCCAAGTAGTACGGCTGCGGATTCGCTCGGACGCGATTCTTCGTACCTGACGCGGCCAACTTAGCAGGTGAGTCAGACGCTGGAAGAACCGAAAGCTTCTTGACCTTTGCTCGCCGCCTTTTTTCCTTCTTTCTTTTCTCTTTCTTTTTTCCTTTCACAATGCGCTATAAGGTACAGCATTTAAAAGTTGGCGCTACCGCACGCACACACGCCCGAGCTACCGAGCAGCAGCTGCTACACAATCGTCGCTCGTCTACCTAAACACTTGGCCACTCTTCGACTTATATTCGAGTACGCGCAAAAAAAGTCGACGATCTTTTGTAGTAAATTTTTAATTTATTCTCGGGCAGAGAATAAAGAAAAGATACACCTACACGCGCTCGGCTACTAAAGCGTCTATACTTTTATGCAAAAGCTCAGCAGGCCATTGTAGATTATGAAAAGAGCAGCGTATAGATAATCATTGAATGTAAGTCTTTGTGCGTCGAGCAAGTTTTCGCGAACATATCCAGCTCGTATCCTCGATAAATTCATAATTCATCCAAGCCAAAATGACTTTGACCGCGCGAGAGAGGAAAGAGCGAGAGATGTATATTATATAGCGCATAAGAGGTTTAAGGTTGGCAGGCAAGATTGCCGTTACATGCACACACACATATATATGCTACGTGGCACACTGTATTTCATGCTTTTAATCCACGAGAGTACTTCTCGCTTACACAGACGCGTAGCTGCTACATATACTACGTAGGCGCGCAAGCATGCAGCCGCGCGACAAGCGTATATGTCGCGAACGAGCTATATGTGTACCTACGATATGAATCGTTGAAAGCTTTCGCCTTGAAACTTGGTTAATCCTCTTATCGCTCCGCCACGAGCGTGTCTATGCGGCTGTGTGTCATTTCTTTCATAAATTATTTGATTCACTCTTTCCGCGCGATCACGAGAGAATACGTACACAAGACGATTCGACACAAGCCGAGAGCGTCAATCACCTTCGAGAGCTGGCCAAACGAGGGCCTCCAACTTGATCACTTGTTGCTGATGTAGCCTATTGACAATTGTCTGCCTACGTGGACATACAAAGCAAGCCTACTCTATGCCATTTGCGTAAAAGTGTCCACTTTCATCGTCTTGGATTTCAGCACGTTGACTATAGGACAATGCATAGGTATGCGCAATTGCCTTCTCCACTCTCGTGGCCAACTTTTACCGAAAATCCATTTCCCTTTGGCTCGACATAGCTCCACTTGGTTTTACTTTTCCTATAGATAACAAGTGGGTCAATATAGTGTGTTAGGAACTGTGCGTGCGTATACGACGTCCAGTTTGTATATTGTCTTTTTTCAGTCAACTTTTCTCGAGCCGCGTGCATAGGGGGGGACATAAATCATATGCGCAGTAAGATGCAGTAAATGCAGAGTAAGCGAAGCCAGAGACACATTTGCGACGACGGGCGTCTTATATACGGTGGGCGAGCGAAAGAAGGGAAAATAAATCTCGCGCGCGTCAACGTGGAAAATCGAGTAGTCTCGATAGAGCGGGAGCAGGCGGTAGCGTATACGAAACTTGAGCGGTGTCGAGGCAAACATTTATCACTGGCAAATAAGGTTTGACTTGGGCATACGCTATATATACTATAAAAATATTATGCCAGCGCGTAAGGATCCTAGCTGGCAATATAGTTGCAGCGAGGCACACATACACACACATCATAAATAAATCGAATAAAGGCGAAATAACGTCATTACGTTATTGGATACACACCTACGAGTGCGTGAGCGGAATCGATAAAAATCCATCTTCTTAATGCATAGACATTCGTCACACTTTCTCTAAATTGAACGGCATTGAATTTATAATTTTTTTTCTCTTCAATTTATTTTCCGCTCGAAGCGAGCGAGAATCTCGCAGTTATATACTCGGGCAAGCATTGTGTCGATACTCGTGCGATTCCGCCCTCGAGTACCGCAATTCGATGGCTGCATAGTTGCATAAAATCCAGATAAAATAACAAGCGGTGCATATAATTTCTCGGAGGAACACTGTGGAATTCACATGGATGTGTACGCAGGCGGGCGCGCACGACAGCAACCGCATCATTAGTCGCGCGCCAAGAATGCTCCCTATACTGCAACCATACATTTATACATGCGCTGCTTGTCAATTTTTTACCAAGATGCGGTTTGTTTTTTTTTTTTTTTTACTTCACCTTGCACCGTTTTTCATTTTTTGTTCGTTTTATTATTCGGTTAAAGTTCGTTGCATTGCGTCGGCCAGAGTTCTGAATTTCGTCGTCGACGCAAAGCTCGTATATTAAGTATACATAAGCAGTCACGCGTATACATAGCAGAACTGCTCTCTCAGCGGCGTAATATACTTCAAGAAGTAACACATTTTAACGGCGCAAAATGTGTGTGTGCGCGAGACCAAAGGCTTATATAGACCCGCGGCTTAATTGAGCTTACTGGGCCGTAAGCGTGTGTACATTATTTCAGCTCGTTTCAAGCGCATTAACGCGTGCGCCGAGCTTCGCCTTCATTTTTATGAATATGTATACATGCTATCATCAGTTATTTTAATTTCATTTAGTTATCGCCTCAGCGCGACATCTTTCACTTTTTAGACTCAACTATGTCTCTCACTCGTTTCTCGTCATGAATTGGATTATATATTAATGACGCTTGTGTGTGTATGTGTGTGTAAACACGTCTAGCTCGGAGGCTTTAATTAAAATTTAAGGCTATTAGTAATCGATATAATGCAGCTCGCGAATGTGCGAGACTTAATATATTTACGAAGCTAAAGTAATATACGCGTGGGTTCGATTAATAAATCGCCCCAGCTTTGTGTATTACCTTTACTTTGTATCTGCACGTATGCCAGAAGTTGCAATCCATCCGCATTGAGATTCCCAAACTAAAATATCAAAAAAGTTATTTGCGCCTAGCGAATGCGTGCGCGCGTTTGACATCGAATAATTATTACCTTTTTTCCCTCTCTCGCTCTCGATATACTCCATACATATTAAATCGTAGATAGATGTTATCTACTCGGGCTTTTGAATATTTATCGCAGCGTATGTGCTTAACGAAAGTCTCTTAAAGGGCCACGATGGTACTGCTCAAATTAAATTCATATAATCCTTTCAAATTATGCACCTCCACGATTTATTTTCACGTAACGCAGCATGATATTTTTTAAATTGCTTAGCATTTCATTCCTGCTCCTTCAAATGTAACTAAAAAAGAGAAAAATCGTCGGAAAACATTTTTAAAATTTTTCAATGTTCCTGGAGTTTTCTCTAATTCAAATTTTATGAAACAATTTTTCTATCTTCGTCATATTTTTAGTTCATATAGATAAATCAAAAGAATCAGTTTATGAAAAATTTTTATGAATAATTAAACTTTTGCGAGGCATGTTATGAATTTTTCGGAATGATTTAATTTAATTTGGAAAACTGTGCTGATATAAAGTAGAATTCTTTGGTCATTCATGGAACACATAGAGATCTACGACAAAAAATTAAAGTTTTATCTGATTAAAATTTAATCCGCTCTTCGGAAAAAGTAGTAATACATATTTCGTCGGTTGGATAAAATCAATATTTCAATTGAATATTGCTTATCTGCTGATCGTATAGGACGATGTACTAAATGCATTTCATTGAACAGATCGAGTTTCTATATAATTAATATAATTATATTTTTAAAACAAAGACCAGATAGTCTGTCTATATGCATATTGCTATGTTACTTTTACGACGGAAACAAATAAATTGGTCCTTTCATCTGCGTATGTGTCATTGTTCAACTACGACGGCGGGCGGATTATTTTTTTTAACAGCCCACGCGCGTTACAACTGAAAAAACTTTGAGATTCCGTCAACTTTTAATCAGCATGTCGCCTCGTACCTCTCGCTCCCTCGTCCATGTATATTCAATACGCATAATTGAGCAAAGTTTCAGGTTCCAAATTTCGACTCGAGTTCGGAAAAAAACTATTATTATATGTTCCAGGACTCGTTGAAACGCTCCACTGATTGTAATGATTTGCATTTAAATGACCCCACGCGCTACATGAGTACGTCTATTTATCATTTCAGACTTTCGACGTGAAATTTTAGGAGCAACAGATAATTATGTGCGTAAAGAAAATGACACTTTATAATGTTCAGAAAATGTGTTAAACTTGGAAATAATATAAGCTAGAGAGAAGAAAATGAGAAAGCAGTTGACAGTTTGTGGACGCAATACACACTTAGCAGATTAACAAAATGAATCATGTCTTTGCGGAAATTTATTTTACCCCGGGAGAGAAAAAGAGAGAGAGAGAGAGAGAGAGAGAGAGAGAGAGAGCTAAGGGGTACGAGGAGTATAGAGTAAGTAAAAAAGAAGAAGGAAAGGCAAGAATAATAAAAAAATCTTCTCCTCTATCTCTTCTCTCTTTCCCATTATGATATGCAAAGCGTGAATTTCCTATATAGAGGCGAGCGTCGAGACTTTGAATCCACAATGCTGCAGTACCGTACGTGCGTTATATACGAGGGAAAGATGAGTGGAAGAGGGTTGGACGGGGGAGGGGAGGAGAGAGGCAAAAGGAGGGGGGGGGGGGGCTATGCAACAGCGGTTAACTGTAATATCAGCAGCAATTACTGGAGCATGATTAAGTGGTAAGGCGAAAGAGCTACACGTAGCGCAACGCAGTGAGTATATAGCAGCAGCAGTGAAAAGTAAGACTACGTTTATAGTGCTATATGCTCACTGCCTACGCATAATGCTCAATATACAAGTTTAGCCTATATGTATAAAAGGTAAAGAGATGTTGCTGCGACTGCGGCGCGTCTACTGGCTTGTACTGGCGCAAAAGAGAGACGTTAATTGCTCATGCATTTGCTCCATCGTTAAATATGCCATTGCGACTGCACAGTACAACTTGGGATCAGCTTGTTCCCTACTTTCTTCGTTAGTCGATATGTATTAGTAATTATTGCACCGACACTAATAGCATCTAAAATATCTTCCATGTAAATTTATCTAGTTGACTACCCTACAACTATCGGCATATTATTAGTCAAGACATAACTCGCTTTATATAAATCGATAGATGAGGGTAGAAACTTGGACGCGTTAATTTTGCAACTATACGAATTAAAGTTGGCCGAGAGTGAGCTTGAGAGATAAGAGGCTCTCTCTCTTTGAAACGCATGAAATCCTCGCCGTCTGACTTTCGTCATTACAATAATCCCAAAACAATTTAATACTCACTCAAGCCGTAAAATATGTATATCTATGCAAGGCTGCGAGAATGAATCACTTTTGCCGCTGAATGAGAGACATCGTTTGAATATAAAGTGACGCGAGCGAAAGGCCGAAAGCCATAGCCCCCATTGACATCTTCGAGATAGTCGCGCTCCCGATGCACAGTGGCCCATTTTGAATAGCAGCTGTACAGTGCAGCAAGGAAGACGAATCCTACGCTCTATCACACTCACAGTGCCTTTTCTTGCTATCTTCGACGCAACATGACACAATAGCCTGTTGATTCTTGCTTTTCCGCTTGGTCTAATCCAATATAATGACGGATGTAATATTTTATGTATAAATTGTATTGTGTCGAAGCCCTGGTGAAAAATAGAGCCCGACTGAGGAAAAAATGAAGACAAATCGCTTTGGACGTCTTCATCGAGCAACGCTGCTTTGTCACCATTTCTTCCGTTACTTTTTTCTTCTCCTCAGTGAAAGCTGACTTTAAACATTCAAATGATTGATACGAATGAGTTCGTCAAATTTCTTTTCTAGGTATTATTTTTAAGTCAGATTTTCTTTTTTTATATCTTTTAGCTATGCAGTAGAAAAAAAGCTCAGGCGAATTCACTCACTCTCTAAGAGCTAAGGTAGTGAAATACACGATGCGTACAAAAGTCCGTTTTCGCGCGCGCGCGTGTCTGTGTGTATACATTTTCAGCACCCAGGCAACTTTTCTTTCTTTCTTTTTCTTTACCTGGCTGAGAAGAAGATACACTCGCAGGAAAAAGTGTGATGTCGAGAAAGAAAAAGAGATAGGTACTTTTTTCTTTCTCTCTTTCTCTCGCGCGCGCCTCTGCGAAGCGAGCTTTTTATCTGTTGCGCCGGAAAATTGCCAGTTTTATGTATCATATGTGTCTGACCTGACACATGCATACATACTTACTCGCGAGTGTACATAATTCTTTTGCTTATATCTTGGCGAATTTTATGTAGCGAGTTTCTAGCTCGCCAACGCGCAGCAGTAGCACTTTTAGAAACGAATTTCTTCTCTCGGCGTTTGATTTAAAAGAGCTCTTCCAGTCACGTGCTTGTGTCGAGTAAGCTTTCGGGCCTAATTAAGACAATTTATTTTTTCTCTCGCCTAGTTTTTTTTTCTAATTACTTGGACAAGGTGCAAATGTATACTATTTCGCAACTGCTAAAAATGTCTAGACGCGAATATAAATGTTAAATAACGGAAGGAGTCTACATCACCGTAGCAGATAACTTTTATTCCCTTGCCTTCTACCGAGAAAAAAGTATTCTGCAAGAGTATGGCTAGTAAGAGACGAGCAAAGTTCCACGTCACGTTGTTGAAGGAAAAAGTCCGTTTATGACCGATATTATATACCTTTTTCTTTTTTTATATGACCAAGTGAGAGGCTATTCTCCAGGCGAGAGCTTTTTGAAACGTACGAAGCTTACACACACCCGAGCTTTCGAGTGTTTTTACTATTTCAAAGTGAACTTGAAGGGAGAGACGTCAGTAGTTTGTGTGCTCGATTTCGATGTGATTGTTTTTGTTGGGGGAAAAAAAGATACACATTTTTCGATGGAAATATCAGCAAGGTTGGGTTTTTATAGCGTCTTGTAAAAAGTTCAGCTTGACAACGAGACTGCGTGTCAGTTTTCAATTTTTTCAGAGCCGTAAATATTTCAAATTTTTCGATATTGAATTCATTGCGCAAGTAAAATGGAACTATTACGATTTATTCTTCGAACAAGCTGTGCATACTCTTAGCAAGTAAAAACGCGCTTTTCCCCGACGGAAAAATTGTTCTCATAGGATAAACAAATTGGCCTGTATATAAGGAAATGCGAGCACGATTGTGTATGCGCTTGTAAAAAGAAAAATACGTAAACGCGCATCCGAAATTCTATTAACTTTTGGATGAAAAACTTGAACAAGTATGTAACAGTGAGCGAGCGCAGTATATCTTACACAGCGGCGAGTAATCTTTCGAAAGAAATCTTGGATAAAAGCAAAAAACTTGGAGCAAATAATCTGATTAACCAGTTAATTATGTAAAATACGCGTCCGTAAGGGCACTCCACGCAGGCAACAAAGTACGGCAAATAAATCATGTACTAAAGAGTCAAAGTTACAGCCTAGTTCCATGAAGGCCTGAAGAATAAACCAAGAATTAAAAAAATTGAAGATGAGACAGAGCTCATAATCGCAAAACGTAAAAAAATCGCCTCGCACGTCTGAAATTCGCTTGGATGGTTATGATTTTTTATCGAGACACTACTACCACGTTGGATTTGGTCTAATCGCAGAGTGCGCGCACGCACATTAAAATTCGTATTTCGTGTTTTTCCGGCTGTATAATGCCGGGCCACGCATAGCAGCTGCAGCCGTATACAGAGACCGCGTGTACACGCGCTTACGATCGTCCAATTAAAATGCAAATTTTCGGGAAAAGCGCGCGTCGGCTTTAACTAATAGGATAATGTGCTAATGCAGCTCTCGCACTCGATGCAGTTTCGCCGCTGCACACTTATGAACTATGTGTATGTATGAGCGTACATAAATGCGGGGCGTGAAAACTCGCGCACTTTTGATTCGCAGGCAGGTACGAGAGCGCCCAAATATAATTGAACATAATCATGTTATCGGAAAGGGCCTGCTGATACGTTTACTCACGCGTACGCGCCTTACAAAAGACAAATTTTCTCTTCTAAATCCAATCGCGCTTCACTTCGTAAACTCAATGTCGATTAAACACTGCGATGTACATACACGTAAGTTGTAAGTGCGTGTGTGTGCACGTGCGTACGTGTGCGAGGAGAAGGGAAATAGCCAAAGGTCGGAGAAAATTATACCCAAAGAGAGATCGGGGCAAAATCAACATTCGTTTCCTGAAAAGTTTTTCAGTATGAGCGAAAAGTAGTTACTCGACCAAAACGTTTCGATAACAAAGTTCCTCTCGGTGCGCCTCGGGGGGAAATGAAACCAGTCCTATTCTCTTATCGCTCGCTTTTTTCCCCTCTGTAGAATTGTAAAAATAATGCTTTGGCTATCAGTAAAAATAGTAAATATATATGAATCATATGTACGAATGGTTTCGAGTGCGGTTAAGGCAATGCACAAAAAGACAAGCAACAAAAAATAAAAACCAACAAAATCGTCTCATCGAATATTCGACTCTTGGACATATTGCAATTTCTCTTTTCCAAAGGCCAGTGCGGGTACGACGAGGATGAGACCGTTGAGGACGACGACGACGACGATGGAGGAGAGTAGGAGGACGATCAGTTTGCAGTGGAATCCAATTTCCATGCCAACGTCCCCTGTAATCTTGTTTGTCTCTCTTGCGCCGCGCTCCTGCCTCATGCCTGCCTGCCTGCCTTGCTTCTAGAGCCGATTTTTTTGTCATTACTCTCGCGCTCTTTTGTTTATAATTCCAATGCGATTAATCAAGTTAAATCTACATAATTTGTATAAAAGCAGCAGCAGCCATGCGACGGACAACTTTTAACAAAAAATAAAGTCGACAAAGAACTGCCTATAGCTTGGCATCGATGTCTGTCGTTCCTATACAAAGAGAATGATCGCGTCGAGTGAGCTTTAATTTTGCAATCTCTGATCGCATACGTGGTCCGATGGCGTCGTTTTTCTCTCTTTCTCTCTCTTGCGAAATCTTGTACTGGCCATTTCTTTGGCTTCCTCCGTTATCCTTGTATGCTCGTGAAACGAATCAGCTCGAGCATTGTACCTGGATAGTTATTTGTACTACGAACATCGATACATTGTTATGGCGCGATATAAATCGAGAAAACTCAAATTAGAGAAAAATCAAATAGGCCATTGTATAAAGTGCAACTCTGTATAAATACAAAAAATTCCAATCCTGCATGTACACCGATGCATACGTAACATGCTGAGCGTCGCGCCTGGACTTTCCGCTCGTTGAATGCAGCTATATCTATATAATACAAGTGTGCTGTACTGGGCGACGCGCGAACTGAAAATTTATCGGTTTTACGTGCGCTACTGCTGCTATATTAGCGCGCAAATACGTGTATACACACACACGATGTGATCGGCCGATTAGTGACATAATACGCCAGTGTTGCCATGTGGCACACATACAGTGGCATCCGTAACACATGAGCTGGCGCTGCTACTACTCATTGACTCTATTTAAGCTCGAGCGTTTAAGCCTCTCTCGCAGCTTCCAGTAGGTACGGAGCAAAAAAAAAATACACGTTGCCCGAAAAAATCCGGCGGAATCAAAGCCACCATCGAGTTGCTCTTTTTTTTGCTCGCCTCTTCACTCAATAATATTCTTCCGATTGCAGAAGAAAGAGAAACAAAACGAGCGTTTCTAACGAGCCTTTTACGAGCATTTTCGTCCTCGCATCCTTTCAAAATATAAACGTACAAGTGCATAAAAATTGCACCGTACGCGTGATGTATAAAAAAAAGGAAGAAAGATGATCTCGATGCCGCGTTACTATGTGCTCGACTATTTACAAAAGCGTAGCGGGCGAATAGCATGCACAAATAAAATAAAACGCGCGAATAAAGATCAACGAAATAATGCGTATATGGTGGCGCTGCAGAACGCTCGACGGGCGATGCACCTTGAACTTCGACCTACTTATGCTATGTATACCTGGCGATGCCGCTGCCGTCGCCGCCGCTGCTCGTACGCTCGTTCGTTCGCTCGCTGGCTCGTTCGCGAATGGGAGTGCAATCGTATGTTCCTTCTTGCATTGCACTTTTATACGCGTAAATACACGTACATGTATAACGAACGAGCTCGAACGAAGAGGGCGCGTCCCGAGGATAGATTATTAGCCTCGCCGCAGGATGCAGTAAAAGGCCAGGATTTAATTGAGGACGAGTAAACGCGCTCGGGGGATGAGGGCAAGACGAGAGCGAAAAAGAAAGAGGTCCTTTAATCGGCCAACGTAACAACAAAGCTGAAATTTTACTCAACTTGTGCTTTTTGTGTTTCGGACGAGATTAAAGTGCAAGAAATAAGTGCAAGCTCTTTCGGAGCTTTTTAACATTTCCGAAGTGAGAGAACGAGAGAAAAAGCGCACTATAAATTGGCATTAGTATTTTATAAAAAAAAAAAAGAAAACGTATCTTATACTCAATTGGATTTGCTAGCTGGAATGATAAAAGCACGCAAAAGCTCATACACTCGCGTATACAGATGTTGGGAAAAGTAAGCTCGTTGGCCATGCAGTGCACACGCTCATGCACCGCGAGTGCGTCCTTAGACGAGACTAGTTTTACCCGCTTACACGCGCCCCAAAGTATACCACTATATTTCTCTTGCGAATGCTCTATTTGCCACTGTAAAATACGACAAAAGATCCTCTTTACATATCTGCATATACGCCCCCCTCGACTTATGCACGAAACGAAAAGAAAAAATATTTCACGCATTAATTATGCGTTTTTTTTCGTTCCATCTCGCATCGAAGCCCCTCGTTAAATCTATTCGATGAATAAATCACAGAGATAAAAGAAGAGAGAGAGAAAAAAGAGAAATTTTCGCAGGAATAGTCGCGCAACGAGCTATCGAGAAGTGGATCGAATTTCGATAGATAAGCCCCCACCTCCGGCTCGCCGAATGTTATAAAGATGATGACGAAGCTAGCTGCTGTGATCCTCCTTGTCATGACTGAACGCGTCAAAGGTATACGAGAGCGAGCTTGGCAATTTCGTTCGATATCCACGCCCTCCGCGCTCGCACACGTTCATCCTGAATATATACATATATCCTATATAGCCACTCGCACTCGTGCTGCACTAGCCTATATATATTTGTAAAAAGTGCATACATATATATATTCGATCCTCGAGGAAAAGCACGCAGCCACACATATAGATACGCAAGAAAAGTAGAGGCAAGCTAAAAAAAGACTGTACGTGCCGGAAATATCGAAACTTTTTATCCGTTATCCGCTCTTTCTCACTTTCTTTTATTATTATTTTTTCCCCCCAGCACCTCTTGTGTCTCAACACCTTCATTCCGGAGTCGCGAGAGAAAGCGACTTTTGCCACCGTTTTTACTTCATCAGAGACGTAGTAGCGAGTCGCGATTAAAAAAATGCCTCGGCTTCTTCTTGTTTCCACTTTTTCCTTTTCCGTCTCGTTCGTTGGCTCTATCGAATGTTTCGAATTTATCGACCTCTCCTGCAGCGCGCGGCTCATATGCGCTTGAAAACAAAGAAAAAACTTTCGACGAAAACCTCCATTTTCCATACATCAAATCCAAAGTTACGCGCAAGGCAAATTGAAAAATCAATAGTGCTAGTATAGTAAATTTGTTTTGTTTCTCGCTACCACAAGGAAGAAAGGGAGAGAGAGAGACTGCGAAACTTTTTTTCTTATCCAATTGTACGCGAGTACACGCGTTGCGGCAGGAATGACCTAAAAGAACTGCTCATCTCCCAAGATGTATCAAAGAGATTATAATACTTTGAAAGCTCCGATGCACGTACTGCTTTGTATTTGCAAATTTGCAAGGATGTGCATCAATAAACAAACTAGGATCGACGCATACGAAACGCGAAAATTCTAATACTGACCTTCGAAAGCTTTCAAGTATGTTTATCTGTTGCAGCTGTCGCGCAGTGCTGCGAGCGGCTAAATGTTTCATTGTCGACGCATACATTTCAAGTATTTCTATATACGACTCACAGCTCCAAGAGATTCTCGTTTAAATTCAAGCACTTTTAATATTTTACTTATACATTCCATTCTAACCTTTTGCTTAAAAAAATGAAAATATCGTCTCTTTTCGTTAAAGAAACGTAATTATTATTAATCCTCTTTCTTCTTCCTCGCTTATTTCTCTCTTACTTTTAAAGCGATTAAGTCGCGTGCTCACGCAGCTCAACTCGAGCGAGATTGTCTCCCTCTTTCTCTCTCCCTCTTTCCGCCTTGAGCCGTTGCACTTTACAACAAACCACAAAGATTTGTGGGGCGTAGAAAAAAATCGTAAAGTTGATAAATATACATCTCACGTATCTCTTTATCGAGAACTATATAAATGTAGCTAGATCATTTGAGCTTGGCATTGAGCCAATGGCTTTATACACATGTCTTTTTGTCGATGCTACTCGGCGCTCATATGCATCTAAAATCTCACTGTGTTTTAGAGCTTCTTTTTCTCGCTAGCAAGAAAATATGCTACCACGTAGGTGCGTGCGGGTAATATCATAAGCACAATTATCGGACAGAATCATTGCGCGGTCCCCAGTGCTTCTCAGTAATGAATATGCAAATTTTTATCTCTTACCCATAAAAGCCAGTTTAAGCTCTCTCGCACTTTTGCGACTCGGAGCGTGCACGTCGGAGCTGGGTAATTTTTTGAGTAAACTATTACTAATTTTGCGTTGCAAAATTCACTTGCACATTCTTGGACAATCGCGCCACTTCGTTCTTGCCAATCCGTTGGCTTATTTTTCAGCTTATAGCGACTTTTTTCATACAATCTCGCAGCTATAATACAACTGATTTATCGATCGTAAATTGCCAATCTCAACGAAGCTTATCTCAGCTAGGTGGTATTTTTTCAGCGCCCCTTCGATGTCCTTAATAATTTGAATATTGAACGCACACATACACGTGGGCATTTGCGAAAATGTTTGGCTCGTTCAATAATATAAGAAAAGCGAGCGAGCGAGCGTCCCGGGTAAAATCTGTCAAGGTCGCGCTTGCGAGGCTTTAAAAAATTCATCGCTCCTGCTGTGTGTGCGAGCACGTGTGCATACAGTGCAGTATACAGCATATAGATGTAGTCGTGTTAAATTTCACGGGCGCTCGCACGTGTAATGAAATATTATCGCAGCAGCCACACGCGCCTCGCGTCTGCGACAGGCCTCACAGCTTCCGATTGTAATGAAATTCCTCGGGTGAATAATTAATCGGCGTCGGTTTGGATACACACAGGCTCGCGCGACAGTCGAGCAGTACAGCCGATCCGGCTCATTGAAACTTCAACTGCGCTGGAAAAACCATTGAAAAATTAATTATCACAAAGGTAATCGAGCACACATGAGGGTAATCTTTCGGGGCTCGACGTGGCCCGAGCATATAGGGGATGGCCCATTATACTGGCTCATGTGTCGGCTCGAGCTGGGGCGAACGTGTAAGAGCGCGTAAATTAACTCGCTGCGCCGCGCGCGAGAATAGGCAGGTCAAGTTAACATCGCCTCAGAGCTCGCCTCTGTACATGCATGAACTACGTGCGGTATTCCAGGCCAATTAGGTTGGACCGACGTTGGATGTGTAGGCGTCATCGTACACACGATACCCCAGCTCTCGCGTACGAACGCAGTACAGCTATCTGTACGTACGCGTGCCGACTTATTCCCTCGTACGCCACA